ATAATCTTTCAGTTTTGATTTTCAGCTCTTTGTACTTTGTTAACTGGTATGTTATGAGACAAAACTTTATTAGTCTTGATTAAAATAGCCCACAATATTTTAACCCACTCGTTATCAACTACTTTTTCAATGTTATCTTCCCTCCAATTTTTTATTACTGGCACATGATAAGTTTTACAGATGTTCCAGTAAATCATTTGGGTGACTATATTATGTTGTTGTTTATAATCAGCTTATTCAATCTTGCAGGACCTGAGTATATGATCTACTTACTGTTTCTTCTGCTTCTTTGCAGAATCTGCACTTTGAATCATTTGATGATTTTTCAATTCTGGCCTTGATCGAAGTAGTTCAAATAACTTGAATTTTGAACAACCAGAATTAAGGCACAAAGTGGTGACAGTCTCTTCTGCTGTCATTAGCAACCTGTCAGATCCCCTTTTAAAATTATCTATACAGGCTGCTATTCTATTATTTTTAACTAAGGTGACCAACTTTTTTACAATGAAAAGGCGGACACAAATAAATTGAAGAAAAAAATATCGTAAATAAAAGAAACATTTTATTCATTGCAACAATAATACAGAATACACTATAATATGATAAATGCATAATAAAAAACATTTGTAACAATAACATTTTATATTGTAATTATGCTTACATGCCGCGCCCCCGCCCACAGCCACCCCGCCGGCACTGCTGCCCCGCCGTGTAGAGTGGGCCCTGCGGCTCCCAAAGCACCAGCTGCACCGGCTCCGTTCCCGGGGGGCAGCCCGCCATTGACACACCCTGCCTGCAGCCACCCCGCCAGCACCACCGCCCACCCTGCACAGCCCCGTGTAGAGCAGGCCCCGCGGCTCCTACAGCACGGGGGCAGCTGGCCACTGCCGCCCCTCACACCCTCGCCCACAGCAGCCCCGCTGCCCCTGCCTCTTGCGCCCACAGCCATTATTGCCCTTGCAGGGCTGAAGATCAAGAGAAAGTTACCATGGCTTCGCCGCTCCAGTCTCCTCCAGGTAGGAGATGGTGTAGTTGGGTAGGAGGGAGGGGTGCAAAGTTCCTGCCAATTTGCCTTCGCTGCAGACAACTTACATGTGCAAAGTTTGCCGGCCGGGTGTTTTGGCACGCTCAGCAGCAATTCCTATTGGCTTTCGAAAGCCAATAGGGGGAGTAGTACAGCTCATGCAAAAGTTGAAAAAAAACCATCAAAAAAAGGTGCCGGAACGCCGTTCTGAGCATTCTATGAGAAAAAAAAGCCCTGCAGATTATTCAAATATCGAAAAGGAGGACATGTAGGAGGACACTTTTTGAGGGAGGATAGAACTCACAAAAGGAGGACTGTCCTCCCTAAAGAAGGACGGTTGATCACCTTATTTTAACTATGGATGGTGCAAAAAAAGGCTTTTGTTGTTTTTTAATTTTTCTGCAATTAATTTCAGCAGATGTTCTAACCTTACTTGTCTGTATCCACATAATCTACACCATGGTATGATTTATAAACCCCTACCACATGATCCCTTACATTTGTTCCAAGCTAAAAAGCCCCAAGTGCTGTGGCCTTTTCTTTTGGAAAAGAAGCGTCTACCCCCTAATCATGTTGGTTGTATCATTGTATGAACAGTCTTTTTTATCCTTTCTAGCTCTGTACTTTCCTTCTTAAAATTCAGTGATTGGAACTATACACAATACTCTGAAAGTGGTCTCCTCATAGTCTTGTACAAAAACATTGTTATTTTAGCAGTTCTATTTTCTAATTTCCTGATTGAAATTCATCTCCTAAAAAGAGAATTTGCTTTTTATACAGTAATTGCACAAAGGGTGCAATTTATTTTCAATAAATAGAGTCCATAATAACGCTAAGATCTTTTTTTAATCAGTCACAGCCCATTCCAATCGTGTGCAGAAAAAAAAAATGAAAGCTGAGATTCCAAGAAATTAAATAGTGGGCCATATTTTACTTATTGAAAAATATAGAACAAAATGCAGCACTATATTAATGGTGCCAGAATGCTGTTGTTTGGATTGATGTACTCCTATTAGAATTCCATTGAAGCACTGAAGAGTTGATTTCTTCTCCTCCTTCAGTTTTATTTATTTTATTTTCAGATACTTGATGCCCTGTAGAAACTTGTAAATATTCATTCCTTACACTGCTTGTTTCCTGGCCCTATTTTTTTTACTTTTACTTTTGGGTATTCTAGAAGGTTGTGCTCAATTTGCTGATTGAATACTCATATAGAGATAGTACTGTACATAAGGTTTGGCAATTAGATCATACTTTGTATACTTTATTTTGATACAAAAAAAGAGAAAAGTTTAAAGTAACTGTCAGGCTATTTTCATTTGCTTAATCTGTGATTATATCATTTATAGAAGTTTTATTTGATCTTCATTGAGTCTTTAAAATATGTATTGGGTTAATTTTTTATTCTATTACTTTAAAACATTTTGACTAGGTTCAAGCTTAATGCTAAGAAGTTTTTTTCCATAACCTTGGTTTATTGAATAAATTATTAAGCCACATGCTGAGTTTTAAATGAGAATAATTATGTTCATAGGATCAAGCTACTACAGTTCAGTGCAATGTTTAAGTAGAAGAATATTTGATTCACTGAAATTAGAATTAGCACCTACTGTGAGAATTTTCTCTGGTTTTCTGAAGTTTTTCTGAGGTTCATGTGCAAATAATAAGTCACTTTTAGAAAATTTATCCAAGTAAAATTTATCAGCATTTGTGTCTTGTTTGACAGAATGAAAAAACCAAGGTTAGAGGGAGGGAAGGCTCAATAAGTTGTAATTGTCTGGTCAGTTTTCCTGAATTCCAGAAGCAAAACCTTAAAATATTTGAAAGCTTCTGGTTTCCGTTTATAAATTTGGGGTCAGAATTGTACTATGCAAGACATTATTCAGCAAATTTATTTTGAGAAACATAGTTTCAACTTTAATAAAGATATATAGTATTTAATGGTACATCTATTAAAGCAGATTGGATTAAACTTTGTTAAATTTCATCAACAAAATATAAGAAGAAAAAAAAGAAGGATTTATGTTAGGTTGCTACCCTGCCCTGAAAACCTGTTCAGCAAAGTCTCCCCAGTGAATATATTATACACATGGAATCCCTGACATCAACCCACTGAACAGAAAATTGGAAAGAAAAAGCAATATATATGGGAATTCAAGTATATTTGGGAAAGATATGTTACTTGTTCTGGACTTTCTTTTCTTCAGAGTTATTGGTCTGATTGTTGCCACATTACAGTCCATTTAAAGTGGAAGACATTCTGAATGTACCATGTGCTGCTTCTGTCACATTGTTTTCACCAGGTGTGGATTAAGTGGCTACACACTGGTGTTATCTGTGGGAGCAGCTGCCAGCAAGCTTCTAAAACTTCCTTATTGTCCCTTAGGTTATCAAACTCTGAAGAGCTTGTAACCCCAAATCCTGTTGCAATAGTGCTTGTCTATTGTCTGATTCTGCCACTTGGGCTGGGCTATGAAATATCAGCTGGAAAGCTGGGATAGGGGGGGGATTGGGCAATTAAATCACATTCCACCTGTTTTCCCAAGATTTTTTTTGCAATTAGGCTTTCCTGGGGTTTCTGATGCATCACACAATTTGCTATGGAGTCTTATAATGGATGAGGATACATCAATAGAGTCATTTGATTTACCACATTTGTGCCAAAGTCAACAACATCACAGTCATTTCTCTATATGGTACACCTCAATGACTAGAATGCCACCCTTTGATACAAAGGATACAATTTAGTAAATAGATTTTAGAATATAATCATTAGGAAATTGAATAAAGTAAAAGGTCTGAAGAGTCATATCAGAGAACCAGAAAGGCCTGATTCCACTTTAGTTTTCCATGAGTTCTGTATATTAGTGGAAGTGATAGTAATCTATTACTGTTGTCCTTTGGTTGGACAAAATGTATTAGCTGCTCCAGAAGAGCAGTATAACACCTTTCCTTCCCAGTAGGCCAGGCATGTCAAACTCGCGACGTCACGTGATGTCGCGCGATGTATCGGAGCTTTTTCACCATTGCCGGCAATGGGGTGGGCGCGGCTCCGGTATAATGAAACCGGCCCACAGGCTGGCAGTTTGACACCCCTGCAGTAGGCATTCTTAATGCCAATTTATGCTGACATCATGATTTATGGAAGTGCTTGCCTGCCTTACCCAAGACCATGTGCTGAATTTTTGGGTGACAAGTTTTCAGCTGACTTAACAGTTTTAGAAAGGAGTCAGGTCTTTCTTTCTTTCTTTCTTTCTTTTTCTTTCTTTCTTTCTTTCTTCCTCCTTCCTTCCTTCCTTCCTTCCTTCCTTCCTTCCTTCCTTCCTTCCTTCCTGTTTAGCTTGCCTGCCTGTCTGCCTGCCTGCCATTTTTCTGGCTTTCTGGCTTTCTGGCTTCCACTACAGTTTAAGTGTATTTTCTGCTCAATATCACAAGCTATTTAAATTGGTGAATACAGAGGAAGAAGACTTCAGGGACCAGAAGAAATGAAGCATAGGAGACCTACTTGCTTCTCAGAATGGATGTATGAAACCTTGGATTAGAGTTGACAGATAATGCTTTGAGCACAATTGTCATCTAAGCCTTGTCGGAATGTTTATTGATAAATAATGCTACATTGCTTAAAATTCATTGCATATTTCTTTTGTATTTCTAGAAAATAAACTTCCCTTTCTAAAATATGTAAAAATATTTTATTCAGGCAATCATCAGAATCACACTGGCCATACTTCATTTTCTAGGATGTAATATTCTTGATTGTGGCTCAGGATAGTTATAAATGCCGGAATCCATTGAAATCAGCAGGTTGAAGTACATTGCAATTCATGCTAAAATGTGGGGACTTCAGGCTTAGTTTTACAATATCGTAATAGTAATGTACAAATAATACTGCATATACTTGGTTCCATTGTGTGCTCATGTTTTCTATATGTACTGTACATTTTAACTGTTTCTTTTTCTTTTTTCTGTCTATTAGCTTCATTTTCCAAGGGCCTTTGGGATGATGCATTTTGAACAATTTCTTTGCCGTTTTTTTCCTTTTATTCAGAAGGCATCTGTTGGGGTCACTGTTCTTAATCTCTGTGCTCTAAGTGTGGACAGGTAAGAAATACATTATTCCCTTCTGTGAATATTTTTCATATATGAAAAATTATCAAGATAGTCCATAACTGAATATTATATAATGACCTGGAGTTTTAAAATTTTATTTAGATAAATAGCTTCTTGCTTAATTTTCAAATTCGGCTCCTCATCCTGTGTTGTATTTCATTATATTATTTTTCTCAGTCTGACAATACTTCATTGATTAGTTGTAAGACACCAAAATATTTTTTAATAAAGTGAACCAAAGGAATGGCCATGAAATTATCTGACACAATTTTGATCATATCACATCTAAGGTATCCCAACTCCCCCCCCAAGGCCCCAAATAAGTGTGTTTTAGAGAAAACTGAAGGTCCACCTTACTTTAAATGCTTTTCACCTCTTTAAAAATCCCTGATTTTTCAACTGGCTCATTTTTTTCCATTGGAGGAATTAATGGTTTGAGTGGATACACTAGACTTTGTATGACTAAAGCAACCATTTTGTCCATTAATACATTTCAAGAATGTCTACAGTTGTAGCTGTAGCCATATCAATGACATCATTGATATCACTAGTCAAATCCTTTATAGCCAAAAACCAAGGAAGTGAGAAATTAGGTCCTGGCTACAAGAAAATTGCCCTCTCTTCTTAAACTTTCAGGGGCAAGGCAGAGAAAGAATATCTATCATTGGAATGTCTCTCTTTGAGATGGTGTGCATCTTGTGGTGATAAATGGTTACAAGAAACTACTTTAGGGATCTATTATCTGTGGGTAATCTACAGTTACATTCACAGTCTAAAACTGGTGGAAATGTAATAATTCAAGTATGAACCAAGGACCTAGGAAGTGTCAAGGTAGTGTATAACAATATTACGGTTCATTGCACAGTCAGCCATATGTTTAGATTAGATTTGGCATTTTTATTAAGCTATCGAGTCCTTCCCAAGGACCTGGGATAGGCAGATGTGGATGTTTCATGATGTTAAAGGTATCGTCGCAGGATGTAAGGTATTCTGAGTAAAGCTGCCTTATGCAACTGGGTGATTTTGTCAATAGTGATGGTGTTCAAGTGGTGCTCCAGTTGTTTGGGTTTGGACCCAAGGCACCCATTACTATTGCTATTAGTTTTGCTTTCTTTTGCCACAGTCATTCTACTTCTATTTGCAGGTCTTTCTATTTTGTGATTTATCTCCAGTTTTTTCTCTTCTCTTCTGCTCCCTCCAGGTATTACAATGTTCGGTATCTAGACTTTTTTGTCTTTCTTTTCAACTTATCAAGGCATTTATTATTATTGGTACTACTTTTGCTTTCTTTTGTCATAGCCATTCTATCTCTATTTGCAAGTCTTTGTATTTCATTTTCTCTAGTTCTTTCTCTTCTATTCTGCTGTCTCCAGGTTTTTATTATTATATATACCTGACAATGTAAAACCATAGCTGCCAGTTCTTAACAACATGCATCAAGTTCTACCCAGGAACCTAGGATATCATAATATATCAACATAGTACATATGAGGAGTCAATCAGGGTGGCCTTTTGCAATTTACAGATGGAAATTTCATCAATGCTGTCTGTGTTTTTTTTTGTATGGCACCCAGAATGCTAACAACCACTGGGACCACCATGGCTGGTTTATGCCAACTTTGATTTTCAGATTTGATAATCTTGTCCAATTTTTGTCTTCTATGATCCCCTAGTATTCCCATATCAATTATCTACATTTTCTTCTTTTCAACCAACCTTAAATCTGGTCTATTATGAGCCAAGACTTTATCAGTTTGTATTCAGAAATCCCACCATATTTTTAATCTGCTCATTCTTGACTACCTTGTCAACTATGTATTTTCACAAATTTTTTGTTACTAGCACATATTTGAAGAATCTTAAAATGTGCCTGTTTATGTATTATGCCTGTTTTGAAAACTTTTATAAAGAGCTGAAGCTGATAATATAAATTTCTCTGTTTATTTTAGATACCGAGCAGTTGCTTCCTGGAGTCGTGTTCAGGGAATTGGTGTCCCTTTGACTACCGCTATTGAAATTTTTTGTATTTGGATTCTTTCCTTTATCCTGGCTATTCCAGAAGCAATTGGTTTCACCAGTGTTGATTTTGTTTATAATGAAAAACGGCTCAAAACCTGTTTGCTAGTAGCAAGCAACAAGTTCTTGGAAGTACGTTACTATATCAGCTATGCAAAACAATTTTGTTGTGATTATTGTTTGTCTTTTAATCAGTAACACTCCTAATTTAAAGAATTAGAATTAAGAAAAAGTGTAAGGGAAAGGTGGGGAATGATAAAAAAACAAATTTATCAAAGACTGTTAGTCTTGAAAGTTCAGTGTTACTTATGGATTGGTAGGTGATATGCCCCAAATATCAGTTTCAGATAGGTATGTGTGCATATGTGTGCCTTTGACTCAGTACTGACTCCAGACAATTGTGTGGAGTAGCCCCTGCATTTTGTGGAGTAAGATTTTGAGGGGTCATTTGTCCTTGCCTTATTTCTAGGGCTGAAACAGAGTGACTGGCCCAAACTTACCAATAGCTATGCCTCCAAATACTATTTGCAGAAGAACAACCATATAAGAAGGAATGTTTCCTTTATCTTCTGCTTGTGAGTATTCCAAAGGCATTTGGTTGATCAGTGTGGATAACAATTCTCTTGAACAGAGTTGCAAAAATCTAGGAAATATATATATGTATATACGCCATGACTCAGAAAGTGTTAAATCATTCATAGCTGTACCAACATTAAAGTTTTTCTCCTTGAACTGACAACATCAAACAGCAATTGCAGATTAGATAAGATCAAGTGTCTATAAATGTGTGAGGTTGTTGTAGTGTTTATTGGCTGTGTCAGGCTGATATTGACTCATAGTCTCCATACATTAATTTCTGGTTTGCCATAATTTCACTGGTGATTCTCTCAACAGTTAGATATAATGGTCCAGTAATCTATTAGGTTTATGTAATAAGTGTAGATTCCTGAGTTTGCAACCTTTGACTTGATCCTTAACTTTGGGGCCCTTATTATTTGTATCACAGGGCTGTAACTGGAACTCTGAAACAATAGAATCAAATTGTAGAACAGGCTGAAATAGCAGAACACTAAAATGGTGGAAGTAACTCTTCCCCCACCCCTTTGCTTTCTGAAAATAATATGTAGGAATTTGAAATGAAGCATTTGTGTGGCCTATGTATTGAAAATATGCTGTTGGTGACTCATGTATCTTTGTCTGTCTGTCTGTCCGTCCATCCATCCATCTATCCATCCATCCATCCATCCATCTTTATTCAGCTCAGGTTATGATAAAATGAAGTATAGTAGAGACAGAATGAAGTATAGTATAGATAGAAGAAGGCAGAGTTCTACAATTGGACCTGCCCAGCTCCTGTTATAATGTCATAGTTGTAAGTAATTTTTCTGCAAGCTAGGATGTACTAAAAAGAGAGGGCAGTCAAATTGGAAGGCTTAAACATTCTCTTTGCTGGATGTATACCAGATAGTCCTCAAGTTATGAGCATAGTCAAGTCCAAAAATTGTTTTTAAGTGAGGTTTGCCCTATTTATTACCTTTTTTACCACCTTTGTTAAGTGAATCATGCCGTCATGACATGAATCTGGCTTTCCTGTTGGCTGTGCTTGTCAGAGGCTGACTGGGAAGGTTTCAAATGGTGATCGCATGACCCCTGGGCAGTGCAACTGTCATAAATAATGCCAGTTGTAATCCCCCCCCTTTTGATTGCGTGACCATGGCGATGCTGCAGTGGTCATAAGTGTGAAAATGGTCATAAGTCACAGTGCTGTTGTAACTTTGAACAGTCACTAAATGAATGCTTTTAAGTCGAGGACTGCCTGTATACGTATAATTGATTTAGCACCTTAACAGAGATTCTGTAAAGGCAGGGCAGCATCTGGCAAGGACAATAACTTTAAAGCTGGCAGTTTGCCAACTTAAAGATGGATAGATTAATCCAGGGGTAGGCAACCTTGGCTCTTTTATGACTCATGGACTTTAACTCCCAGAATTCCTGAGCCAGCCATGCTGGCTCAGGAATTCTGGAGTTGAAGTCCATGAGTCATAAAAGAGCCAAGGTTGCCTACCCCTGGATTAACTCAACAAAAGACAAGATTTTCATCTCTTCAGTTGTCAAGCTACATTTCAGTAACTGGTCTTTTCAGTAACAACATACCTGTTGTTTTACATACTTTTTCTATTTTTCTCTGAATCCCTGATAGCTTACATAAAAGAATATGTTTCAGTAGGAGCTTTAGTTTTCTGACTATTCCCTCATCCCATTTCTGAATGGACCACAATCTCATCTCTTCCAGAGAAAAAAGAAGCAGTAAGAGAGAGTACGTGGAAGAACCAGCTAGAAATAGTTAAATAGTTTCTTCCTCTGGCATTCCTCTTACAGCTGTTGGAAGTTTAACAAAACAAAGCACTACAGAAAAGATAACTATGACAGCTTATGATTTGTCAAATCCTTCCCATTTTGACTTAGGAAAAATAGCTAGTTCTCTTACCTTTCCAAACACATTCAAAGTTATATTAAGAGGTGCCCTAGGTTGCAAAGAATTATCTTTTCTTGTGGATTTTGGAGACAATCAAATACACACAGAGAGATGTGTCTAAACCAGAGGTCCCCAACCTTGGCAACTTTAAGACTTGTGGAATTCAATTCCCAGAATTTCTCAGCCAGCCAAGCTGGCTGAGGAATTCTGGGAGTTGAAGTCCACAAGTGTTGAAGTTGCCAAGGTTGGAGACCCCTGGTCTAAACAAAACAGAAGCTGAAGCAAGTCAAAGAGGTTTTTAAATACATGAATCAAGGCTAAAAGGATGAATTAAGGCTAAAACCTCTTGATATATTTTATAGCAAATCTTTGAATAAATTGTGCAGGTTAATATCAATAAAACGTAATAGTTTTTGATGGTTCTTTTGTGTTTTCTTAGAAAACATTTCATTATTTTTTAAGTCCACTTTTCCAATGTTTGTCCTAGAATCTAAATCCCAAAAGGCCAAGTGCCTTAGGGAACATGGGAAAAGGCACATTTCCAGGAGAAAACTAGTTCCATGTGGACTTATGTACTGTAGATCAGGGCTCACCAACCTTGGCAACTTTAAGACTTGTGGACTTCAACTCTCAGAATTCCCCAGCCAGCCATGCTGCCTGGGGAATTCTGGGAGTTGAAGTCCACAGGTCTTAAAGTTGCTAGGATTGGGGACCTCTGCTGTAGATAAAAGGATACCTGTGCCTCTTATATCAAAGTACAACATTGGTTTATTGTAAAATCTGTGTAAGTTTTAACAGCTTTAATTTATAATTTGAAGACATCTCGGTTTACTTCTTAACTTCAAAATCTCACATTTTAAATACTAAATAAGATTGGTTTTTTTTATCTTTTTAGCATTATTTTTTCTCTAGCATAGTGACTTAATGCTGGTAGAAGGAAGAGAGTTTAGTCCAAACAAGATGTGCCTTTTGGGGGGAAAAAAAACTATTTATCCTTTTGTTTGTAAACATCTTCAGATTTTTCATCCTGGGAGTCTTCTGATTGAGTCATTTAATTATCTAAAAGCCTTGGGTTCTATCTTCCTGGAATTTTTATTATAAAGAGCATCATAAATTTATGGCTAAAAATGACTAAATTTTGAACTGCTGCCTTTCAAATAATAGTAGAGAAGAGAGATCCATTTGGCCTTGTGTAAGGTACCTTCATCTAAAAGTTGAAAAGGACCCATCATTGTAGCCATTGTAAAACTTGCTTATATTTTGTGCAAGTGCTTTCCATGGCTGAAGTCAGCTGATAGTTGTGTTCTTTTAAGATAGGCATAGTGCTATTTCAGAATAGTACTAACTTTGTATGCAAAAGCAATTTGAATAACAGCGGACAGGCATAGAAACGGTTGTGCAGTTTAGCTGCAGAAAAAGACCCAGCAGCCATTTCAACCATTAACACTAATCACTTGCTGTACACGTTAATCTGCAGATCAAGTCAACAACCTGACAGGTACAGGGAGAGAGAACTTAAATTAAAAGAATCAGTGTGATGAATCAGTCCAATACAATTTTGGATTGCATATCTTGCCATTTCCAGTTATGAAGGCATATTCAATGTGTGCTTGCATAAGAGTATCCAAAATTCCAGAACAAGCGTTAATTTCTTGGTGTCATCTGCCTTGAAGATGTTCTGCTATCATCTATTATAAGGGTATCTCCTCTACATACGTACTGGATACAGTGCTCAGTTGAAGGAACTTCAGGAGCAGCCCACTCTGCTGGAGTTACATTGGTGCAACTCATGTAGATGTTGTATCAATTTGTGAAATCTAGATCATAGAGCCTTGTTAGGAGAATCCATTTGGATCACATTTATGCTAACTTTGCCTACTTTTAATAAGAAGCATGCCATTAAAAATTGCCTTTAGTTCTATCGTTGCTACATTTAGCTAACTAAAACTGTCTCACAGACATTCTTAATAGCATTCTCAATAGCATCATTTGTGAGAAAGACTATGTTGGTTGTGAACTTTATAAACTGTAGCTTTAATACATATAGCAGGATCTGGTAAGGAAAGAAAGGGGGGAAATCCTACTTTTGTGTGCTTACTTCACATATAAACAATGCCTATAAATGAGAAAAAGTAAAGCACCATTTATTAAGATTATATTAATTACAGTAAAGGTTTAATCTAATTCCAAAGTTAGCTTTTCTGGTTAGTTATGCATAAACAAAATAGCAGAATTCTGACTACAAGGAGCCAAACATAGTTATTTGCGTAATGATATTCTCATATGGAAAATAACATCAGAATAAACAACTAAATGAAAAGGAGATGGGAACAAAGAATCCCCTAGATACCAATCCAACTCATAACAAATGATTAGGAATAGGAGCTGTTTCACTTGACATATAAGTGTATGTTTTTGTATGTGTTCCTGCTACTTATATATAGAAATGAACAGAAAATGCATATAGGCAAGACTGATATTTACTCAGACCACCAATTCTTTCTTCCTGCACATGATCAGCATACCATGCAAAGGGTTACATTCCAGGCAGGGGGTTAAAACAACTAGAGAATCAGAGTAACTGGAAAAAGCAGGCTGTACTCCACATTTTCCAGACTAAGACATGTTAAGTGGCCTCTTTTTGCTGGACACATAAGCAAGACAGTTAATCTTTCAACTGATAGCAGGGCCCAATTATACATAGAAGACATTCTTAACCTGGACCTTTTGGAATCAAAGCCATTCTTAAAAGCCTTAAAAGGTAACAGACCAGACTTTCTGTTAGACAGGCAATTCACATGACTCCTGGTGCTCTTTGATTTTAATATACAGATAGGAGGTATTTAATCTCTGGGATTTAAATCAGTTTTGATAATACAATGCTATCCACCAATAAGCACAACACATACAGAAAGACAGAAGACAGATCAGAATCTAAGTGCTCTTATTCTCTGTAAGAGAATTCTCTTATTTTTTCCTATCTTCTTCCTTTCTCAAGAGACTCAATAGGCTAATTTAAACACCTTCCTTATTCATCTCTTGCCAATTCAGCCTGGTCCATACTCTGTGTCTTGGTTTTAGTTTATTTCTTCTTTTGTTTATATGAGAAGATACTTAAGGTGAGATAGGGGTATGTTGTATTGCACCCAATCATCTGCTCTGCTGTGTAGAAACTACTGAGTGTTTTAATTCTACAACATCTGGGGGATTATAGGTTCCCTGGGTTAAATAGCAGAGATCACAGTTGTTTGCATATAAATCCAAATTATATAGCAGTTCAAAGACTAAGATAACTGCAGGAAAGGCAGTTAATGTTATTTTTCACAGGTGGCCTCCACATAAAACATAGAATGGGATTGTTTAAGCATTGTCCAGCCTAGTTTATACATGACAAATAATGAGTGAGTACATGATTCACCAAAAGCAACCAGGTTAGGACTTAGCACATTATATGAATCCAGCCACCCAGTTCAGCTAAAGAAATTACAGTTATAAGACTACTTATGCATGTCTGTACAGGATGTTCATTTGTTTGGAGAAGGAATGTCCTAGTCAGGGGAGCCAGGAAACTGACCTTGGAGGAGTCCAGAGAACATTAGGCAAGTAGGTGAAGGAAAAAATATGTGTTATGTCCAGATAGGCAAAATACAAAGAGAGTTAGGCTAGACCCGCTGACTCCCTGGAGTTCAAGAGGGAGGGAAAGAAAGATTGAAGCAAACCTGCAAGACTTTGTTACTAAAGACTATCTCAAAGTATACAGCAGTCTCTTCCTGACAGTTAGTTTTCTGATGAAATTATAGTTGTAGGCAATGAGCTCATAATTGTTGGTCTTATCTTTAAGAATAATTGTGGTTAAAAATAGAGAAAACAAAACTGTAGTGTTGTTCTTGAGCAATAGCGTATCAAATGCATATCACTGTATCTTTTTAAATTTTAATAATAATAATAATACAGTTGAAAGAGACCTTGCAGGTTTTCTAGTCCAACCCCCTGCTCAGGCAGGAAACCCTATACCATTTCAGACAAATGGCTGTCCAGTCGCTTCTTAAAAACTTCCAGTGTTGGAACATTCACAACTTCTGGAGGCAGGTTGTTCCACTGATTAATTGTTCTAACTGTCAGGAAATTTCTTAGTTCTGCTTCTCTCTTTGGTTTGTTTCCATCCGTTGCTTCTTGTTCTCCCTACAGGTGCTCTGGAGAATAGTCATGAAATAGAAAAGTTATCTAAGTTAACATTGCTTAAAATTACCCATTGAAGCCTTAACAGCCATCATTTGACTTTATGGAAATTTTATTCTGGCTGAACTTTCTTTAGTTAATGATTTAATTATATTTGTAGCCCACTTTTTTTTCCTCTGGGAGTTCAAGATGTCAGATCTGGAGAATTTCCACTAATTTTATTCTCACAAAACCCCTGTAGGTAGGCTGAACTGAGAAAATGGTTAATTGGTTAATTAATTGTTAATTAATGGTTAATTAGGACCTAAATTTAGAACTTTCTGGTCCAAATCTAACACCATTAATCAATAGATTACACTGGATCTTTCATGCAAATCAACAATACAGTATGTTACTGGAAAGCAGGGACTAAAATGTAGTTGGACTAAAAATATAGTCCAATGCTATGTATTCTGCTGATGCAGTGATCTGGTTGCCTATGTCAGTGTGTATGGATAGAATGTGTATGTGTGTATTATGTCTGAGAGGGGGGGTATTAAAGATTGTGCAATTACCAAAAAGGAATAGTGGGAGAAAGATTTGCTTTCACCCCTATTTATAGCTATTTTGGAGCAAATATTTTCTGAATATAGCGAGACTTTTTAAAAAGGTATTCAAAGAGTAATCTACCGGTAGAAGTAGCTTTGATGCATTCAATAGCTTCAGTAGCTTTAATTCTAAATAGACATTGTTTTGTATTGGGCTGCTTTTTTATGCAAAAATGTTGTTAGCCTTTCTTTTCCAAATATGTTCTGAAAATGTGTTAGGGAGGTGTATTATGAACCATTAAATAATGCAACTTAATTCCATTATTACTTCAAATTAAATCACATTCTCATTATTCCATTTTGTTTATGACAAATATATTAGAAAATTTCAAACATATGCAAAAATATATGTTTAGTGCATGTGTATTCTGCTTATCATCCAGGTGCTAAATGTTCAACAACTTTTCTGCGATAATTCTGCTGATATGACTGGCCAAAGCTGATTTATTTAGGAACAGGAGAAATATGATGTAGCATTTCAGGCAGCAGAATGTCTTAAATCAATCCTGATTGTTGTGAGATGGTCTTTTCAAATCAACGGCAAAAATAGAAATATTTCCCTAACAGTTTCTAATTGGTCATATTTATGCTGGTTACTCTTCTGCGTAGAACACAGGTGGGAATGATAGCCTTTTTATGACATGTGGACTTTATTTCCCATAATTCTGGGAATTGAAGTCCACAAGTCATAAAGGAGCTATGGTTCCACCTTTGGGGTAGAACAATTTCTCAACTTGGCACTCTCCAGAAGTGAGAATCAGCTAAATATGTTCAAAGAGGATAGCCATTGGTCTAAATCTTGAGATTTGAAATCCACAGTTTTGGAAGCTTTTAGTTGAGAAAGCTGGTAAAGAATGTAGCCGCATATTCTATGGAAATTACAGAATTGTACTGCAAGTTACTTAGCCACAACCTGTCACGTTTGATGTCTTTTCAGTTATACATTAAAGTAAAAGAGTGGTGGCTCTTTGGTTTCTATTTCTGCATGCCACTTGCTTGCACAGCATTCTTTTATACTCTGATGACCTGTGAAATGTTAAACAGGAGGAAGAGTAATTTGAGAATTGCTCTCAGTGAACATCTTAAGCAGGTAAGGAGAAAACGGTTTTGACATGCATTTCCAGTCACTGTCACAAAAGATTTATCCTGTAAACTTTCGATATCATCAATATTCATTCTGAGAACAGAAAAATGTGTTTTGACTTAGTATAGTTGGGCAATCAGAACATTAGGGCAATTAAGAGTGTGAGCAATTAATGCAGGTAACCTGTTACAGAGTTCAAATTATTTCCTACATGGAATTTTTGTTCCCTAAAAACCTTTTTTGATCTAATACCTACTTTGGGTGTTGGGTCTCAGCTGCTATAATTGCCAACCATTTATTTATTCATTTATTTGATAACGATCAACTTCAAATGACTTTGGGCAGTTCACAATACACCAAAACAGTATAAAATTAGTATACCAAAGAATAACAAAACAAGATGACTGAGAAAAATAAAAGGAAGAGCAAAATGGTGAAAATGGCAAGCCCCCCAAAAAATATACTGCCCACAACTGGCATCCAACAAAGCAGGCACCAACTACCAAAAGAAATGAATGAATAGTCTAAGTCCTGGAAGAACAGCCAGGTCTTTATAGCTCTTCAAAATGTCAATTGAATGGGAACATCAGGGACCAAATTTCCTAATATTTTATTATCAAGAAATATCATCTTTCTCTAATTCTTTATTTTGATTTTTCTCTTCACCATTCTATCAATATAAAAGCACTGCATTTGTCAAGGGTTTCAATTTAACTTTAGTTTAATTGTATTATTTAAACCAAATTCCTGAATATCAAGTTGATGAAAAAGATTAATTCTGTTTTAAGTGCTCGGGGATTACAGTATCACAAAGTTTGATAACTTATAACATTTGGTATCTTGCCATATTTTTAAAGTTTTGATGAAATAATACAGCTTTTTAAAAGCATGTGGATACAATCTGATTATTAACCACTTTGATATTTCTTATTTTGAAATGTTGGTATGTTAAATTATGATGAAACTCGTTGTCTAATTTAAATACTAAACCTGCTGGGTCTAGGATAATTTGCCACGGCCAACTCGCTATGGGACAACTTGCCACAGTCAACTTGCCACGGGACAAAGAATTACACTAATATCAAAGAAATGATGGAATAGAATAATTAAAGAAAGGAAGCAAAAGGAGGAATAAAATGAAACGTGAATGACAAAAATTAAAACATTTTAAAAATTATTTTAAATACTTAAATTGAATTGTTGAATTGTCCCACAGTGAGTTGGCCATGGTGAGTTGGCTCTGGAGAGTTGGCTGTGCCAAGGGGTCCCATTCCATCCTCTGCTTGCACATGACCCTGGGAAAAGACGATGTCACCACTTTAAGGGTGATAGTCACTTTAATACAGTGGTTCTCAACCTGTGGGTCGGGACCCCATTTGGGGTCGATCAACCATTTCACGGGGGTCGCCAAGCAAGGCTGTCCGCCATTTTTTTTGTCTGCCATTTTTCCCCCTTTTCCGGCGGGTGCCTTACCTAACTTGGGCTGGGCCAGCTGGTGGTCGGCCTGCTCCGTCTCTGCTGCTTGCTAGCTACGCCTCGGCCGGCGCAGGGGGCGGAACCACACATGCGCGGCGCTCCCGGGCAGGGAAAGTCCTCGACTTACGACCGGTTGGGTAGTCCTCAACTTACGACCAGTTTAGTCCTCGACTTATGACCGGTTTAGTCCTCGACTTACGATTGGTTTAGTCCTCGACTTACGACCGGTTGGGGTCGCGGCATTAAAAATGTTGAGAACCACTGCTTTAATAAATAGAATGCAGCAACATTTCTTTCTCAAGTGAATTCCATGAATACCAGAGATCCTATGCTGCTGTGAGGTCCAAAGCCTTCTTCATAATTTTTGAACTATAAGCACTTTCTCTGATACTTTTTTAGTTGTAATTTTTTTGTTCCACAAGTAAATATATAATTTTGACAAGTTGTTAGAAATAAATGAACCTTTTCTTCTTGACTATTGCTAATTTGAGCAATTTCCATATTTTCCTCTTCAGTTGCTTCACATTTGCCTTGGCTTATGTTTGCAGATCATTGTCTTTTTTTTCCCCATAGCGCCGAGAAGTTGCTAAAACAGTTTTCTGTTTAGTTGTGATTTTTGCTCTCTGCTGGTTTCCTCTGCATCTAAGCCAGATACTGAGATCAATGCTATATAACGACAAAGACCCCAACAGATGTGAATTCCTCAGGTACTATTTTAATGTATGATATTGAATAATTTGATGATAGATGAATGCAGCAACACAATAAGTGAGTTAACATGAATACATAACATTTATTATTTATATTTTATACAAGTATTTATATTCTGCTTACTAATGAATTCTGTACAGTTTGTGATAATAAAAACATGACCATTTAATCAACATAAAACATAATGCTCCTTAGCAGTTAACAGCTGCCCCAAGATACTGTTGGTTGCCTTGTTTAAGGTTCTCCTGTCTCAAGGACCTGCAGAAAAGCACTGTTTTTATTGCTTTACTAAATGCTAGGTCAGCGGTTCTCAACCTATGGGTCGCGACCCCATTTGGGGTCAATCAACCATTTCACGGGGGTCGCCAAGCAAGGCTGTCCGCCATTTTTTCCCCTTTTCCAGCGGGTGCCTTACCTCCCTTGGGCTGGGCCAGCTGGTGGTCGGCCTGCTCCATCTCTGCCGCTTGCCAGCTATGCCTCGGCTGGCGCAGGGGGCGGAAGCACGCATGCGCGGCGCTCCCGGGCAGGGAAAGTCCTCGACTTACGATCGGTTGGGTAGTCCTCGACTTACGACCGGTTTAGTCCTCGACTTACGGCCGGTTTAGTCCTTGACTTACGACCGGTTTAGTCCTCGACTTATGACCGGTTGGGGGTCGCGACATTAAAAAGGTTGAGAACCACTGTGCTAGGTGAAAGCCATCTTCACCTCTGGGAGCAAATAGCTCCTAAGTGAAGGGGCTGCAACTAAACAGGTCATACTCCAAGTCCCCATTCTTGAAGGAATGAACATCCAAACTACTCCTTAGCTATAACACATATAGAATGAGCAGAAGCCACCTGAAATAGATGGTCCCAAAGCAACAAAGAATTGAGCAAAAAAGAGCCTTATAGATACTGACCACCATCTTTAATTGATCCCAGGCAATTTGATTGCAGGCAATCAAAGCAGTTTCTGCAGCATAGGTGCAGTGTGACCGAACCAGCTTCCACCGGACTGCAAGCAGGCCTCTATGTTCAATGCCAACTATAAGTTTGGGACATCCCTAAAACTTAAGGGCATCCTGTGTAAGATTAAATAGTCTAACCAGCAAATGATAGGAATGTGACTCACTATAGTCAGTACTTCTGTTCCAGAAGAGTCACAACTATGCACATCCAACCTGGTCAAAGGCTCTTCTGGCCAGTCTCCAGTGACTGCACTTATCAGAGCCATGAATCCAGGATAAACACAGCTAACTCAATAGCTTTTTCAAGGAAAGTACAACCAATCAGGAGCCACAGATGTAATTACCTTTATATATCAAGATTTCTTTTCTTTTTCTTTTCTTTTCTTTGTATCTTTAGACCAAGGCTTTTCAACCTTTTTCACTGATTGTACAACTTTTAGGATATGGCAATATTCGAGTACCACCAGTCGCCTAGAAAAGTGTCAAAAACTTGATGATCCCCCCCAAAAGGGAAAAAGTGATAAAGTACAGGTAGTCCTCGACTTACAACAGTTCGCTTAGTAACTGTTCAAAGTTACAATGGCACTGAAAAAAGTGACTTATGACCATTGCAGCATCCCGTTGCAGGGGTCATGACCATTGCAGGATCATGTGATTTACATTTGCATGTTTTGGCAACTGATTCATATTTATGACAGTTGCAGTGTCCCGATGTCACGTGATCCCCTTTTGCAACCTTTTGACAAGCAAAGTAATGGGGAAACCAGATTCACTTAACAACCATGTTACTAATTTAACAACTGCAGTGATTCACTTAACAAATGTGGCAAGAAAAGTCATAAAATGGGGCAAATCTCATTTAACAAATTTCTCGCCCCTCCACCTTTTATATCCTCTCCTCTCTCCCCCTCCTTTTATATCATCTTCTCTCCCCCCCTTGTCCTGTTATATCAGGGGTGCCAAACTTGATTTCATTGAGGGCCACATCAACATTGTGGTTACTGTCGGAGGGGGAGTGGGGCTGTGTGACCAGCTGTACGTTGCTGAGGTTGAGAGGTCTGGGGGGGATCCAGGGGTCTTCGGTGGAGGGGGTTAGAGTTAGGGTTAGGCTCCTTCCCTCCTTCCCTCTTTCTCATTCGCATCTCCTTCCTTCTCCCTCCAAAATCCTGCCCATTCTCATGCAAACGCCTCTCCAAGTCTTTCCTCCCTCCTTCTCTCTCTCTCTCTCACACACACACACACACCGCTTCTCTGATAAAAGCCTTTTCTCTTCTGCTTCTTTCTCTGGCGTCTTTTTTTCTCTCCCTCTCCCGTCAAAACTGCCTCCTTTTATATCCCTTCCTGTCTCCGCCCCCTCCTCCTCCTTTCTCTTCTGGGTGTGCCGGAAGTGCCAATCCTTTGTCTCGCCCCAGCAGCCCTGCAGCTCCTGAGGACTCTCTCATGGCAAGTCCTGCGCTGTGCCGCTTTGGCTCATTTCCTCCCCCACTACACTTGGCTAGGCTGGGCAGGGCCGCATACAAGCTGCCAGGTGCCAATGTACCACCGTACCACCGGTTGAAATGCTCTTGTTTAGACAGCCAAAGACTTTGGTACCCAGAGACTCAAAAATGTCTTCAAAGGTCTTTTCCTTATTGTTAAAAATAGGTTATGGTGGGGTTTTTTGTGGTTAATTTTTCATTAATGATATACTGAACACTAACTGCATAATTTTAATAACATAAATTCATTAATATAAGAGTAAACATGACTGTTCTGTCTTTCTTCTAGTTTATCTCTACTTTCTCCTTAGATAGGGTGTTCAACCTCTTGGGAGACTGCAGTTCCATTTGATTTTTAAGTAATATGCTGGGACCATTTTACAAAAGGTGGGGAAGGCCAGGACAAAAATTAAACTTGAATTAAATATAAATGTAATTAAACTACAATAAATTAATTATACCATTAATGCAATATATTTAATAACTTAACCCTTCTTCAACATTACACATTAAAATTCAGCAGCTATTTGGGGTGGAACTAAAGAGTGGTGTTCCCAAAAATTAGGGGGCCACAGGCAACTTAAGGGACTAGGTCAGGGGTCAGCAACCTTAAACACTCAAAGAGCCATTTGGACCCATTTCCCACAGAAAAGAAAACACTGGGAGCCACAAAACCCTTTTGACATCTAAAATGAAGATAACACTGCATATATCGTTTTTTACCTTTATGCTATGTATAAAAAAAACTATAGGGTGTTGCATTTATGAAATCAATAAACTGCTACAAAGAAAATAAATTTTTATTTCTGCATGCAACAAAAACATTTTGAACTCCCCCCCCCAAAAAAGATGCTGGGTCGAAGGTTACTTTCAAATAAAATACTCAGTGTCTATTTGAGTCTTCCTCGTATTTATGAAATAAAAAGCCGGTGCAAACTATAAAAACTACAAATAGAAAAATAGAAAAGAAAAAAATTGCGGGGGGGGGGGGAGAAAAGGATAGGAGAAAGGGGGAAAAAAACCTTTCTCCTTCATCCCAACAGGTAAAAATAATTTTAGTAGCTTATCTACCATCTTTAAATACAGCATACTTATCCCCATACCTCATCTCTTAATTAAAAAAAATCAAAATATTTCATTAAACGTTCTTTACTAAAAAGTCCAGTAAGGACAACCACATATATTCATATTCTCTCTCTCTTTCTCCCCCCTTTCCCTCCCTCTCTCTCTCTCCCTCTCTCCCCCCCCTCTCCCTCTCTCTCCAATCTTCTGCTCACCTGGCCAGCCGGCCTCACGGTCTTCTCCGACAAGCTGACATACCGCGGACATTCTTATTGGGCTGGCTTTATACCGGCGCTCCTCTCCTGCCCTTGCTGCGTTTCCACAGCCAGCCATTAGTATGGATGATGTTACCTAGTTGGGTCGTCAAACGTCATGAAAACCATGCTGGCTGAGGAATTCTGGGAGTTGAAGTCCACAGGTCTTAAATTTGCCAAGGTTGGGCAACACTGGTTTACACAGCGCATTTCCATGTATCTTCAGTGCAAGTCAGAACTGTAGCCATGTTTCTTGCCCCTGGCATGGAGGGTTGGCAGCCCACGTGGCCTCTCAGCAGCAGGGAGGATTGGAACCTTGCTCACAGAGCAAAGCTTGCAATTTCCTTGTGGTCTAACTTGGCACAAAGTCCTTGCACTCTAGAAGCCAGGAGGCAGCGAAGGAAGCTGCTCTGTGCCTGGGACCCTCCTTTTCTGCATCGAGTGTGTCACCACCTAAAGGGGAGGCCACCAATGTAAGCCCTGCCCTGGATTCTGCATGCGGGGAGAACCCAGCGCTGGGGACTGATTGTTTACCTCTTCCTGATTCCAGGTTGATTTTTTCTTCATCCTGGGATGCCAAGCAGTTCCTGACCACTCATCCTTCATCCCACATTCCATGTGTCTGTTCCCCACCCCCTTTGTAAATAAAAAGATTTCTTAAAATGTCTGTCCATCCTCATGCCTTGAGGGAGGACCACACAGGTCTGAGGTCCTGGGAATGGGGAGTGTATCTTGCGGGAAGGTGGGGATGGGGGTGGCCATTCAACTTTTTTCTCTCACTGTTCCCCTCCCTCTTTTTGCTCCTGAGCCTGCCAGAGCTACCTGCTGGGTTTGGCCAATTGATTGTGAGCCACTGGCAGCATGTTTGACCAAAGGCTGCAGGGCAGGAAAGTTGCAGCCAAGCCAGCCCCTAAGATGGGAGTCACCCCCCGAGTCGTTTCTCCTCTTCCAGTAGGCAGCCCTTGGGAAATTGACAGATGCCGTCACCTGCATTTCAAAGCTGCAGGCCCAAGCAAATAGAAACGCAGCCTGTTTGCCCAGAGCTGCTTCGCCAAGGGCGCCAGTTGGTGATTGCTGGGGGTTGCAGGCGGCAGCCCGGGGATCGATTTGGAGGCACAGAGGGGAGGGGAACAGCCGAGGGCTGCCCGTGTGACCTTGAAGCAGCCACCTTTTGAAGTACCAACGCTGCTCCAGCCAGGCTCGAGCCAGGCAGAGCAGGTGATGGGAGAGGAGCGGGCCGATCACCTTGCTGGCAGCCGGGACTCCGGCACGCCTTTCTGGCCAGCGGGGCCAACGGTAGCACCAGTTGGGTATCACAGGGGCTGTGCTCCCTTGGGGCTGTGGCTTGCGGGAGGGCTGGCCCACTCAGCGGAGGCTCCAGTGGGCTGTTCCCAGGGGGGATCCCAGGGCTGCCTCATACAGCTCCCCAGCCACATGGGGATGGGGCCAGCCCGGGAAAGAGACTTCCTGGCTGAGCTTCTCCTAGGGGGAGGGGCGCCCAGGCAAGGGCCAATCAGGAGCCCCGCAAGGCGGCAAGCCCGCATGAAGAGAGAGAGAGAGAGAGAGAGAGAGAAGGGAGGTGCAAGTGCCTCTCTCTGTCTCTGTCTCTCTCTCTGCAAATGGGAGCTGCAGTAGAAGGCTGAAAGAGCCGCATGTGGCTCTGGAGCTGCAGGTTGCCGACCCGTGTTCTAGGTTATGCACCTTGCCTTTGTAATATCATGTTACCTGTTTTTGAAGCAGGTTAAAAGACAGCTGCCTTCCAGCTATTCCAGTAATTATCCAGGCAATCTTATAAATAACCTCTATTGAGCCTATTCCCAAATAATTAGAAAGAAAGTAATCTTTAGGTCTATGTCTTCTTAATTATAAACAATACAGATACTATTTACTTATGAACAGGCACTTAGCAACGGTTCAAAATTTCAATGAACCAACCAAAAGGTATTTACAACCTAGTTTTGATGGCCACCCTCCACCCCGCCATTGTGTGATTGTATTTTGGTGCTTGGCAACTGTCCCGTATTTACAGCTTTTTGCAGCATTCAGTGGTCACATGACTACAATTTACAATGTTTTTTTCCTGCAAGCTGGCATTTACTTCTATTTTGTCGTAAAAAAAGCCCATTGTGGGTTTGCTTAACCATCACTGTGTTTGCTTAATGACTGCATCGTTTGCTTAGTGACGGGAACATTTACTTAGCATCTGTAGTGCTCACCTAACAACCACTGCAAAAAAGATCATAAAATTGGGTGAGATCACATAACCTGCTTAACAACCACTTTAGACTTTATGACTTTAGATCATAATTCTGAGCTCAGTTGTAACTCGAGGACTTCTTGTTATGCCATCATTTTTCCTGTCAAACCCACATTATATTTTAAATGGCTCCAGAATTTTACTCTTTCTAGCCCAAGGTTTTGTATTATGCTTCTGTTCATTTATAAATGCTTTGTTATTTGAATTATGTGCTTCATATCCTTAATTCTTCTAATTCTTCTAAGCACTTGCAATTCTGTTACCTATTTTTACCTGAGACACTGGAGAGTTTTGAAGAAGACACAGCTGTAGCATCATAGTTTCACAAAATTATAATGGCTGGGGGAACATCTGTCCACCATTGGAGGATTGTAACATTTTCTGTTTTTGATCCTAGTTTTTTGTTGACTTTGGATTATATCAGCATTAATCTAGCAACCATCAATTCCTGCATAAATCCTATAGCACTCTATTTTGTGAGCAAGAAGTTCAAAAACTGTTTCCAGGTAAGAGCCAAAAAGATTAAATTAAACCTATCAAAAGTAATATTGAAGAACAAAATGTGAAAGATGAATAGAATACTATTCATCCTTTTCCAAGTTGATCCCATATTTTGAAATATTGATGTTTAAATTTTATAACCTGCTTTCTGCCCAAATAAACATTTAGGAACATTTATGTAGATGTTTTACAACAGTCTTTTCCAACTTTCTTTCCTTCAGTTATGTTGAACTTTGAGAATTTCCAGGATTTTCTCATAGTGGCTGATAATTCTGGAACTTTTTCTAATACATTTGAAAAGCATTGAGCAGGGCTATTATATTCTGATGTCATTAAATCTCAGATTATTTTGATAAATTTAGTCACAAGCCTGTCTAGTTTTACACATTAGATGGAGACATATATGAAGGTTTATTCCATAAAGAGACGAAGTTGTTTCATTTTTACTAGCACAATGGCCATTTCCGCCATTACTAATGATGCAGCTATTTACAAAAAATAAAAAGGCTGATTTATTTAGTTCTTCAATATTTATACATATTGAATTTAGATCTTCAATAATTATACATAATCTCAGAACTAAAAACTTGAGTTTCTTTACTTCACATTACAGTTAAGATGGAAACAACAATTATCAGTGGAAAGTTCCCAATGGGGAGGGGATCACTAGTCAAAAAGTGCCAAAATGATAGAAGCTCAAGAATTATTATATTGTAGTAAACTCAGCATAACTCAGAAATAAGATGTTGCCACTTCTTTCATAATTTAGTCCACTTCTTGTTTTTAAGAGAAGAGAGAATTAGCTGACATACAAATCATATCAGTTTCTAACAACCCCTGTTAAGAGAGCCATATTTTTCCATCAGTTCAAATCTCTTTTCTAAGTTTCAAAGTTTTGTAGTCTAGTTAAGCTGAAAGTGTGGAACAATGAAACAAAAGAAGTACATTTTTCTTATCTGTTTACATTTAACTACATATTAATCACAGTTTAGCAAGAAATTAGGTATGCTTAAAAGTAAATTTACCCTGTATTTTATGGTTACTACATGTTTCTCCATTTCTGAAGTGTAATTTCACTCAGGCTTTCTACAATCTGGAGAATTCTGCTCTCTTTAGTGAGCCTTCACTAAAATAAATTAACCAACAAACAAACCAGTAATGTTTGGAATTTTTTTTCTTGCCAGTCATGCCTCTGCTGTATTTGTCACCGGACAGGAAGTCAGATGTCCTCTGTCCCCATGAATGGGACCAGCATTCAGTGGAAAACTAATGAACTGAATAATCACAATACAGAGCGGAGTATCCACAAAGACAGCTTAAACTGAGATTCAGCAAAGACTGTGCTTCTGAATTTAAGGAAAAGACAACAGATACAATATCTAGAATTCAACAAACTTATTTATTTGGAAGCTCTGTGCTCTAGCACTTAATTCCAGAAATGAGCAGAAAGAACAGTTGTGCATAAGTGAATCTCTAAATGGATTCCAAATGGTTCTTTTTGTTATAAAGAAATTCACTTTTGGCAGAAACAAGAACAATCGACCCAGTACTCTGCCAAGTGTTCACAGATTTCAGCCAGAACGTCTAGCTGTATGTTATGTTGCATATTCTGTTATATCATTTTAATTTTATAATCTTATTGAATTTTCTTGGATATCAAGAATTGTGAAAACGTAGGACCTATAGCTATTCTGTAATAACACCATTGTTTTTTCAGGAAATATTTTAGTTAATCCAGAGGTAGTTCTCAACTTACAACTATAATAGGGACTGGAAAATGTATTGTTAAGCACTGCTTTCACTAAGCAAAGCATCACATATCTACATCCAATTTTACCACCATTTTTACATGGTCAAGTGAATCACCATGGTTGTCAAGCAAGATATCACATGACTATGGCTTGAGACCTTCCCTGCCGGCTTCTTCACTGACTTGGTTAGAAATAAACTGCAGGGAAAGTTGCAGATGGTGATCATGTGACTGCAGGATGTTGCAACCATCATAAATGTGCAATGATTAGCAAGCACCTGAATCACAATCATGTGACTGCAGAAATGTTGTGACAATTGCAAATGTGAGAACCAGTCATAATTTTTTTCAGCAGTGCTGTAACTTTGAACAGTTGCTAAATGAATGGACATTAAGCAAGGACTAATTTCATGTTTAGAACCATGTTCAGCAGAAAACATTTTTATAACTATAATATATGTGTTAGATTAGATCTAAACAGTATTTTATGTATTGTAATGTAACAAATGAGATGTAATTTAGAAAATATTATTTTTTGTGTGGGTTTTTTTTTGCCAACCACCGGTTTGTGGATACAGGTATAATATTAGGATTTAACCTTTAGGACATAAACTTATGCCCAAAAGGTAGAGCAGTGTATTAGCAGGGAAATTTTAAATAAACCATATGCAGACACAAAATGATATATGTACTCTGAAAATACCTTTCAATAGTCATACATATTTCCCCATAGCACATGATTCCACTGTTGAACTGTACTTACTTTTTATAACATTTAACTGGAATCTATCTTCTGACAAATTAAGACCATTACACCATATCCAGCACTCTATTTGTGATAGCCATTCAGATATTTGAAAAATGCTTTTAAATTTCCCCCTCAGACTTTTCAATGTCAGACATACCCACTTCCTCTCATTTCTTCTCAAAAGATTTATATTTCCTTGTTATCCTTCTCTGCATCTTTTTGGGTTTCTATGATTTTTTTCAGTATGAAAAAAATTACATATAATCTTGTTACCAAATTCTGTAAAAAATGACAATGTATATAAAACCACTTTTAAATTCTATTTCATAAAAATGAATGCTACATTTTCAATTGTTAATTATATACTTAAGATTGATAATTCTGGCATTCTGTTGCAGACAAATCCTAAAACATAAACCTCTGTTATGGGCAGAATAAAGATGCGAACAATGGTCTTTCTCTTTGCCAACCTTTTTTCCTGTTTTGCTTGGATGTTGTTCCATTTTTCTTCCTTTTGCTATCACAACATGTTGCCAAGGAATGGAGAGATCTGTCCATAGTTTTGACATGGTCTCTTTTGAAGGACTGCTGAAATTAGTCTGAGAACAACATGTGGCCTGAATATCAACCAAACATTCTTTGTAGTTCATTTTGGAGAAATAAAATTTTACAGAAGGATTTCTACAATAAATTACATCTCTAATAGAACAGAGCACACATAATTCCTGCCTAGGTAAATGTGTATTAAAAACTCTTAGGAGTCTAAATGAATTTTTCAAAAGAGTCTATTGAACATATTCTTCTATTTTAATTAAGTTAGAGGGGACACTATAGGGGTGAACAAATATGTTAGTTTTTAGTCTTCTCTTTTTCTAGCTTTTCTAGTCTTAATTTTTTTCAACCAATTTCACATTAGATAAATTTGTTTTTTAAAAGTGCATGAAAATTCATTTATAAATTTACGAACGCCTCTCACAAAAAGTATTGTATATAATTTGTAATACTTCATGTCTTGACAAGCAAGTTGTCAAATATTGTGCATTCTGCACATTATTCCCACTAATATAAACATTTCTATGCACTCTTTCATAACATGCATATATTTTATAAATTGGAAAATTGCATCAAAAAATGAGACACATGCTTTTCAATCACAGTTTCAGTTTGCATATGGGTAAAAAGTTATGTAAGCTTACATTAAAATACCAAGCAAATGTCTTCACTTTTAGAAAGGAACTTCAGCTTGAGAACCATATTCTGCTTCTTTAAGAGTTGTGCAGTATTGAACCATTTCTTAAGGCAGCATGACATCTTGCTTTTGGGCTTATGGATGCCTAGAGATAATGAATTAATGAATACCAAAGGGTGCTTTTGTTCACACAGGGTCCAGAACACTTCTGAATAAGTTTTCAAAACCCTTCATAGAAATAATATTTGGACTGAGTTGAGATAAATCCCAGTGAATTCAAATTTTGTTATCTGTTATAAATAGGTAGCTCAGCAAATGACAGCACTCAGCTGATTTTGACTGCTCTTGAAATGTTAAGCAAATCCAGTCTAGTTAGTTGGATGGAGATCAATAGGAAAGTCCAAGGCTGTAAGCTAGGTTGGGTAGTAAGAAAACACCCTGGAAAAGGTAACGAATCATTTCTCTATTGCTATTTTATATGGACCTTTAGAGATAACCAATTGAAGGGAATCTTGATTTTTTAAAATAAGTAAATAACAATATAATTCTTTTATTTCCCGCAGTGCCTGATGGATAGTAGCATACCTGGTTCCTCCTCCTAATTGGGAAATAGGATTCCAGGTTTAGAGGCAAGAACCTTTTATTAACTTTATTCTTTTGTCTGATATTCCGATCTATGATACCCAGTATTGGAAAATCTCAGCTGGGAAAGTCTCAAAGGAAGCCAAGGGCAGGATGGAATAGGAGGGTCTGATCTACAGCTTTGAGAAAAGATTTAGAACAGTGAAAGTCTACTGTTCTAAGTAGGGATCCAGTTACTGAATATTGGTCTTAATGCATTTTAACATTGATGTGCTGTTCCTGCTTTTATTTTAGGTCATTAAAGATAATGGAGCTCTCTATCAGAGTAACTAGTTAAATTGCTATATCCATCGTGTTAACTTTAATGGGAAGGACGAGTGAATTGCAACCAATATGCTCAAAGTTACATGCTGAGCTAAGTCCAACTATTCTTCTTTCTCTATAGTGCTCAGTTTTGGTAACTATTTCAACGTTCAGAATTCCTTTGCAGCAATTATAACTTAAGTAGGTCTCTTATTTACTGAATTCATATATGATGCTTGAAGTATCTTCTGGGGAAATCAAAATTAAAAAAATATAATAAAAATGTAAAATGTGAATCCATCTAAATCCGGGGTAGGCAACCTCGGCTCTTTTATGACTCATGGACTTCAACTCCCAGAATTCCTGAGTCAGCTATGCTGAATCAGGAATTCTGGGAGTTGAAGTCCATGAGTCATAAAAGACCTAAGGTTGCCTACCCCTGATCTAAATCATTATAATCCATATGACTTCTTTATTATTATCATCATAATATCTACGGTGTGGTTCTTATAAGCAGCATTTTTTTTCCAGCAAAATGGATTGCTTAGAACAACACAACTTACATTGTATGGCTACAGAATATTGTCAACCAATTTATGATGTCTGCTGTGCTTAAGTACGCAAAACAACCATGTGGTTTTGAACCTTCAACAATTTCAAGTAGATACAATTCTGTGTATAATTAAGATCAATTTACTGAACAGTTACACCATCTTCATATAGAAGATGATATTGTAATTTGTATATATGAAATGTCTATGTAAATGTCTATAGTATTTTGATATATACCTGTCATAGCAATCATTCTGTTTATATACATATTTCTTGTTTTCAAATAAAATGTAATGTGTTGACATTGCTCTATAATAAAGGAGAAGAGCATGCTGTGAGTGATTATTTTTCTACCCAGAAAACTTTAGAAATACAAACATTTTCATAACTTACAAATTTCTGATCTTTCTCCATGTGTGCTTATGTATATGTGTATAAATGTATACATGCTGAGGCAATATGAGAGGCATTTATATCCCTAATCTTCTTGAGCAAATATCTTAACTGAAAACACAAAGTATTTTTGTTCCCCTTCCAAATATTCTAGGAATCTGCATTTTGGAACAATTTTATAAGTACTTATGAGTTTAAAACATTTATGTAGCCATCTATTATGCAGAAGATATGTGGGCAGTTCCAAACCAATGTAACTACACAATTAAATATATCTATTAAAACCACAAATAGTAAAAACTTAACACCATAATAAACTTTAACAAGCAGTCCATCACAAATACTTTCATCAGTCTCACCCTATCTCAGTGCTTGGCAGACAAACCAGATCTTAAGTGCTTTTCAGAAGACTAGGAGGCTAGGAGTCTGCTAGGGCCTGCTAGTTCCGTCCTAGGGGATTAGGAGGGAAGGTATTCCATAGGAGAGGAGGTGTTACATAGAAGGCACATTTCCTAGATCTCATAGGATGCCATTGTTTAAAGGATAGGACCAGGAATGTGCCCACCCTATCTTATCTAGTAAGATCAGTAGATGTCCTTAGTGAGAAGTGGTCCCACACAAAACCTGGCCCTATATAGAGATTTAAAGTTAATAACCAGACCTTTAAATTACACCTTGAAGAAAAGTGGGAGTCAATGCTGCTTGTGCAACAGAGATGTAACATGAGCCAATTTAAGAATATGTTGTGCCACCATATTCTGGACCAGTTGCAACTTGGATGTTCTTCAAGAGTAGCCCATGTATAGCACATTGCAGTAATCCAAACAGGAAGTGAGCAGGGCATGAGCCACTGTGCAAGGTCTCCCAGTCCAGAAAGGTGGCAATTGGTGTACCAGACAAATTGTGCAAAGGTCCCTTAGCCACTGGTGTACTTATGCAACAGCCATGAGCCTAGGAGAACCCTCAAATTGTGCACCAGCTTGGTCCAGGGGAGTGCCATCCCCTCCAGAGTCAAAGATGAAGTATCTTCTGGGCGTGGGAAGGGCAAAAATTGAGAGGTATTCCATCTTGCCAAGATTGAGTCAAAGCCGGTTCCTCCCCATCT